TTAAACTTGTAAGTAAATTAGTAGTATTAAACTTGACGTACCTACTTACCTTCGTCCGCACGTTATAATACCCACTTGCACAATGAAATGCACGTTTCCTGACAAGGATTAGCAATTAGTATACATTCATACAGGGTGGCCAAGGAGTTGACGTTCAAAGCTAAAATTTAGATTCCTTACATCAAGTTGTATCTGTCACCGTAAAATTGTGAATTCCGTCAGATTATAATCTGACGTAGTTAAATTACAATCTAACCTAACCTAACCCACTGTTAGTTTACAATCTAATGCATTATATTATAAACTGATAGAGTTCACAATTTCACGTTGACATATCTAAATCAACCCCATGTATGCGATTTTGCTTAGTTTTAGAAGAAAGAGTTAATTCTGTGATATACATATATGGTTGGTATTTTTTTTATTCACTCTGGCGAGCACTTGTATCTTTATTGGAAACTTCTCTAGCGTAAGTAAATTAAAACAAACTACAAGTGCTCGCCAGAGTGAGAAAAAAAATATAAATAAACTAACCATACCTGAAACAATCACAAAAACTAAGCAAAATCATGGGGGTGATTTTCTCCTCACAGATCCTTGATGTAAGGAATCTAAATTTTAACTTTGAACGTTACTCCCTGGCCACCCTGTATAAGCTGCGATTACAATTAGGGCTTGTTAGGAATCCAAAATCGTCAATTTAGCGGAATCGGTTTGTAATGTTACATTCGAAGAGCATAAGTCAAATCCTTCGTCTGTGTTACCTGGAATAATTATTCGGGTATCAATACTCGCACAAGGTGCAATAACTTGTTCTCCTCCAGATTAAGCCTCAATGAGTTTGCAGACTAACGGCCCTCATAGTTTGGTTCTGACTAGGGTTGCCATCCGTCCGGCTTTCCCCGGATTTGTTCTAGTTTAGAGGGCTTCCGTCCATTCTTAGACCGATGCCGAGCGACGCGACTAAGTTTTAAAAAAACCTGTTGAAATGTCTATTGTCATTGTAGGCTCCAAAATCCAGAGTTTTCTTGCCCAGGTTGCAGGCAAAAAACGGAACCCTTATAGATTCGTCATGTCTGTCTGTCCGTCCGTCCGTCTGTCCGTCCGTATGTCACAGCCATTTTTTTCCGAAACTATAAGAGCTATACTGTTAAAACTTGGTAAGTAGATGTATTCTGTGAACCGCATTAAGATTTTGATGCAAAAAAAAAAATTACTGGGGGCTCCCCATACTTAGAACTGAAACTCATATTTTTATCAAACACATACGTGTGGGGTATCTATGGATAGGTCTTCAAAAATGATATCGAGGTTTCTAAAATATTTTTTTTCTAAACCGTATAGTTTGCGTGACAGACGCTTCCAAAGTGGAAAAAAGTTGGTCCCCCCACTCTAACTTCTAAAATAAGAAAATGAAAAAAACATAATATGATGTACATTACTATAAAAACTACCAACGAAAATTGTTTTGAACGAGATCTACTAAAAGTATTTTTTTTAATACCTAGTAATCTTTCATACAAATAACTTAAATTAAAAAAATAATAATTTTAATTTCATAAATCAATGGTACGGAACCCTTTGTGTGTCAGTCCGACACGCACTTGGCCGGTTTTTTTTATTAAATATTCAATCGTTCTTTATTTTCCGATTTAATTCCATTTTATTTTTAAGATAATACGCTTAATGAGCGCTCAAACGAACAGTTAAGAGGATCAACAATTCCTTGGAAATAATACCTAACTCGTGCTTGAAAAATTATTAATTCTCTTGTCTATTGTAAAAGTGTTCTTGTTACGAAGTACACGTAAGGTACTTTACTTTTTTAAAGTCAGTGTGTGTTTTGTTGTGAACATTTATTTTGCTTGTTGCAAATCTGTATTATACATTATCGGTGACAATGATGCCACAGTGCGAAGTTAGTTAGGAGTTTTTGCATCCTTGCCATATTCACGTAGATAAAAGTAGGGAACAATAACCTATCATTTCAGATAAACAAGAGACTCCCATAAAGAAAGCTCACTAAGTTTTGGTTTTGCAGTACAAATTGGAACAAACCAATTTTGTCTCGCACGATCAACAGGCGTGACGCGCCTGACGCTTTTGACAAAAAACGTCAAAAAGAATTTTAAAATCAATAGATATTTAAAAATAGAATAAAAAGTAAAAGAGTCTCCGTCACCATCGCCAACAAGTGATGTGGATGTGTTACGATAATTAGTGATATGTTTAACAGATTGTCGATAAAATAAAATACTCAAGATTAAAAAACAAGATTTTAGGGCATTCTTTTTTTTATTGATTTATGGTCAGTGTCTGTAATATACACCTTTGTAAATATAGCAAGAATGCAAAGTAACACCGTGTATTACAAGAGTGAAAGTGCCAGTTTTAAGCCATATTTTACCAATTTGACTGAAAAATTGCTGAGTAATTTATTATTTCGTTATAAAAAATAGAATAACCATAATCTTATTTGATATTTGGATTAATTCGCTTTTGTCCCTGGCTCCGCCCCCGTGGAATTCGGCATGTCACAGAAAATCTTGATTCTATAACTCTAAATTAAAAAAAGCAATAATAATATAACGATATATTCAATCACAGATTACGAAATCATATTATTATAAATTCCAAACTACCTACAAAGGTTTTGCACAAAACTAATCAATTGAATGATACGTAATACTGATTAAATCCTATAATCAATTATTGGACACCATTTGAGTATTTAACCCATAATTTGTGTGGGCTCTAAGCTCTATTGCGTGGCGTAATCCGATGTGTTTTGTGATACTCGTATGCAAAATGCTGATGTACTGTCGGTAATAGTGTTAACTGCCCATTGCCAGTCATGTCATCTCGTTCTATGGCAAAAAATCACCATTTGATTAGAGCGAGAGCAAAAACGGACATGGATAGTTAACAGTGTGGCCGTGTGTACGTAATATTTTAGTAACTGAAATATTATGTAACAAATAATGAAAAGAAAGTCTTTGTAGACATTATTGTTTAGGCACTCAGATATTTTGGACGAGAGACGTACGTGTAGTTTCCCGAATTCTGACCAAGTACCTCTAGCAACCAGCACGAACAACTTTCGTCGTCGAAGCGTTTGCGTATTCGACAAAATTCGATATTAAACGATAATGCGACGATCTCGATTTTCATGTGATTTAAAAAAAGTTCACTTTACGTCACGTCACAGGGGCGCTGATTATTGTGTTTTCAATAGCTAGCTAGCTAAAATGCTAGAGGTACAGCTATGTCAGATTTGACGATTGACCTCTTTCTCAAAATTGAACCAGTCTGCCCAACTGGATCACTAGTCCAAGGTGGGATATTTATTATCAAGTTCAAGAATAGAGTCTTCAACCGATAGTGGGTAGAGCAAGATGGACAATCGACGTGACTTTTGTTTTGTTATTCAAAAGATTACCGAGATACTTATTATATTCATCAAATAAACGAAATGTTAGAGATTCATTTTAATTCAAAACTTACTGTAGTACCTAAACCTGTCTCAAGCTCTAAAGGACTCTGCACACCAAGATTTATTTGAAAAGAAATATGTCGACGACTTGTACACTTTCTATGATTTTTTGACATCATGTCAAAGGTCGACGACTCATATCGGCGGGTCGGCGGGTTTGGTGTGTAGGCTGCATTACAAAAGTCTTTATTTAAGTCCATCCACAGTTGAATCATAGTCGGGTACCTATCAAATAAAATAAGTAGATAGGTACTCAGACATAATTGTTTCTCATTACCGAATGGGAATAAGTTCTTTTCATTTAATGAAAAAGCTAGAACATAAACACTTACAGAAAAACACTTCAATATAGCATCGCAACGTAAACTTCTACCTACGCAGCGATCGGTCCTCCTCAGATCTAAAAATGTTATGTAAATAAGTTAGAACACAATATTAATACATCATCGGTACTATTGTAAAGAAAGTGACAAAAAAATTGCCTTCTCGGCTTTAATGCTAGCTCGAATTACTATACAACAATTTTTTTGGCAGCACAATGCAAAAAGCAAGAAGCTACCGAATTATTTTGCTTTTGTTGCTAACCCTCCGCAGCGGGCCCGGTCTATCCGAACCAGCGCATCCCAACTATTGTCCATCCATACTTACCTGGATTATCCCTACCTAATTACCTGTTTTGCGAAACCGTAATTATGTACCCATAAAAGCGTTTCCACATCTGAGCGCCGACAAACAAACGAGCTACCTCACTTTCGTAAATTGTTCTTGTTGACGCAAACATCAATCAATTGAACGGTGCCATTGTATTTCCAGCTCTTAAAAGATTAAAACGGAAAAACGGATGCATTGTGTTGTGAAAGTCCTAGTTAACAAAAAAATATCTTTTTAAAAATTAGAAAATATTGAGAATGTGTTTCTAGAAATATTCATGATGATAACTATGAACTGTAAACGGTTCGTATATTTTCAATATGAAATTTAATTAATATCAATACCAAGACTAATTAATTAGCTCTCCCATTGTTTCAATTACCAACACAGATGTCACACCTACATTGAACGATAATACCCGAATCTTCAAAAATACCCATTATTAAATTGATGTTACAGAAATTATTGGATTTCAGACCTTTAAGTTGCATGCACACAATCACAGTCGAATCGAGTAGCAAAGTGCTTATTTCATTTAATTTCAATAGTTCTCTACAGAATAGCCGTTTAGTTCAACAGCGGTTAGAACAATACGAATAATGAACACACGCAAGGGCCCTCAGTTTTGTGCTAAAAAGATGTCAGCCCTTGGTTTTGAACAATGGCGAATTATTTCTTACATTTGTTGCGATTATTCTTGATCGATTCTATGCCCTTTCTTTTACACGTTAACCTCAAGAGCACTTCAACTACCACAAGATTTCGCGCTCGCGAATTTCACACGAGGTGACTGTGTGAAATTTTTTGTCACCTAATTTCATTTTATTTTTTATTGATTTATGTTACTTTGTTTTAGACACAATGAGGTTATGAACCGCTCCGGAACATGGATATGTCTATTTTACCATCCTCGTCCTCAAGTAAGTTTTGTTTGGTTTGATTTTTTTTCATTTGTTAACCTTTTTAATTTTTTTCTGGAATTTTTCATCTTTATTTTTTATCACCTAACCCATAAAATTTATTGTTTTACTAACAAGCCTTTTTTTTGCGGCTCCGCTTAAGTTGTTTTTGGTTTGTGACATCTATTTACTTACGATATACAAAAATAGTAAACAAAGCTTTCTATTGGTACTAGAATTTTCAAATTTTAATCAGTTGTCTCAATACTTAGCCACTTACAAAAAAAACGAGCATATTTATTTTAGATAAATAATGACAATTTAACTGGCTCCGAACTGCCCTTGTTTCTCACGTAAATTAATGACAGCATGCATATCTCGTAAATAGTGATCAGGTCACAACAAATTGGGGTGATACAGTTATTATTGCCGGTGCGAGATGACGTGTCGTCCGCGAGTGCCCACATTCCCACGCGCCTGCGCATCCGCGTGGGGGTGGACAGTTCGCGATTTAACCCCTTTTAATTGCAAAAATCCCTCATATTTTCAATTTTGAGTTATTAAAAATGCCCTCCTTGTAACCATGTAATCGGTTGCAGGTCAAAACATTGCCACGTTTGTCGTGCGAGTGTGTAATCTCCCTAATGAAATCAGGCCAAGAAATTCCTCGTGTCATACCAATTTCATCGACGAATTTGTAAAGGGCTTTATTTTGTTTCGATGTTTTAATATTACGATGCAATATGATTGTCTGATTTTGTGGTTCTATGGACTGCTCGGATTTCCTGTGTAGTGTTGCGTGTCAGTTTGGATGAGTTATCGCTTTGTTCCTAAATTCTAAAAAGTGATCCGTGAAAGTTGTTGGTTGCCCTAAATAAATAAAAAAATCTTTCACCAATTGAAAGCCACACTATTTTTGACTGTCACAAAGGTACTTTCTCCGATGTGACAAACCAAAATCGGACAGGTTAGCTTATTAAAAATAACTAAGTACACAAATGCATGAATCTGACAAAAATGCTTTGCGTTTTCTGTAACTACGTCGCCCGCGATTTGGGCTTTTAACGAATTTTTAAAAAATCGCTTGGGTAAGTAATTAAGTACTACTAATTAGAGATGAAACGGATATCCGGTAACTATCCGGTAGGCCGGATATCCGGCCTGAATTTACTATTCGGCCGGATACCGGATAGTAACTCACTATCCGGCCGGATACCGGATATTAAAAAACTACGACAATTTCCAATTAAGAAAATTAAATACATTAATCTTTGAGGTAAACATCAATAAATGGCTTATAATATGAAAATTAAAAAACATTTATTTAGTATCTTTTAAGTTAACATATGGTTGCAAGTGGCTGGGGTCTCCTTTTAAGTATAATACCTGTGTTTGGAGGCCCCGCTCTTTCATAAAGTTACAAATATACATAATTAAGTTAAACAAGCCACAAAAACTCACAAGTACGTATTAGGTACTAGTACTAGAATAACGCTAGATATCATTAAAGTTTTGGTTACATTCAATAGTTTTATAATGACGGCTTTTATTTAAAGTCCAAAAAGTTACAAAAAGCCATATTAAGGCCTTTAAAAAAAAATTTCTTTTTCTGGGCTATTCACTCTAATGACGAATAGTAAATATCTGTTAAGTCGAAATATTGCCAATTAAAATAGGCGATCTTTTTTTCACTGATGGTCTGATGTCATGATGCAGTTCAGTCAGATTATGCAGCAAGTTAACTAATTTAATTTTCGCTATTCAATTACACACTCACGATGGCAACCGAAATCGCCTGAATTGATCTGCCCCCTAGACTTGTGGCAAAATCTGACATTCTATTCGGACTGATTCGATTTTCGAAAAGTGTGACTAGTCTAGTCTACTAATAGACCCACTGATCGCGTTAGAAGCACACGTGCGGCGCTAAACTCGTCACGACATGCAACGAGACAATGGGCCAACTATCCGGCCGCCGGATATCCGGCTATCCGGCCTAGCAGCTGGCCGGATATCCGGTATCCGGTATCCGGCCAAACAACTATCCGTTTCATCTCTAATACTAATACATTAATAAAATATTATTTTTTATTATTACATCCAAATTAAAAAACAAACACTTTGGGTAATACTTTAAAAGTCAATTTAAGTATCATGGAAAAACATCAATAACCAAATTGGAATAATATTTTCATTAATTCTATCCAAAAGCTCCTAATTTTCAACGGCAAAAAAATGACCTATAGCTTTTTGTCGACACGTCACCTCATCAATTCCCATAACCATACATTATCGTTATCAATTTCGAATAAACAATGCGTTGTGTGGGAACACGGGTAACCGTCCCAATTTCATCTGGAGCATCCCACATGCGTTTAATAAGCCAGGTCGTTGGGACCCCACGTCACGCGAGCGAGCGCCGCGCCGCAGGTGAGCGTTCGCATGGTTAAGTCACCGTTGGGGACTGAGTGCGTACTATCCGTTCGCGATAAGTTTGCCGCTGGCGATATGACGTCACTCGAAGGAATGCGTCTACAACTATAGCAAACTATATTGAAAATATTTATTATTTATTAATATTGATAAAAATTGTGTATTTGCGTAAAATAAGACACTAATTGCGTTTATTCACTAATTAATTGCGTTTAATCGCGGTTGGGGGAGGGGACGCGCATTCCACGGACCGGCAAACTTAGCGCGAACGGGTAGTATAGAAAACGCATCAAACTGCAGTGCCATATTAGGGCCCAATAATAAACAGTAATTCAACTTAATTATACACTCGGCATAACTTCAAAGATTTTATATTCGCTTTAAGAATAGATTAATGGATCCTTCTAAAGACACATTTTTGGGGTAAAAGTAAAAACCTTTAATTTAATGAAATGAAGTTAGAACTAGGCTTTCAAATGGTACCAATATTGGTGATGGTAAGTAAAGTGCTTGTCGCGGGAGGTGCATTTTGTGCAACAAGGAGCAAAGAGTGTCTTAACGGGCGCTTCTCACACTTGATCCCGGGCGTTCAAAAAAGATTTCGGTATTGTAAACTATTAAAGTTTTCTTTTATTGGCTTCCGCAGTCTTTATGTTTTTTTAAGTTGCATGACGTATCATTATTTTTGCACAAAATTACCTACCTATTTCCATTTATGAAAATTATAAATCTATTTTATTTCTTTTAATGGATGATGGGCACTTTTCTATGGAATCTGGGCGTAAAACCAACAGAAATGTAACTACTATTATTTGTTAGGATTTAATATCAGAAATATATTTTCATATAAATAACTACCAAAAACTCCCGGGTTTGCTTGGAAATTGACATAATGTGTAAAATATTAATAGGTGCTTTATTGCGCAAACAAAAAATATTATTAATTAATATACTTATCTACTTACATTTTAAATACATTTAGTTATTTATCCATTATTATGTCCAACAGTTCAGGAGTGGAGCCAACAAATGGTATATTTAAACCATGTTCTACATTATAAGCGTAGGACCACACCTAGGTACCATTTAGAGAAATGACATGAACACAGTCATGTTTCAATGCGATTTCTACCAGTTAAGTTGTAGTGTTGTCGCATAATCTATCACGGATCGATTAATTAATCGATATTGCCAAATAACGATTTATCGATTAACAATTCGATTAATCGACTTTATTGATAACCATCATTACTATCATTTGATTGTTAATTCAATTCCTTATTTTCCGCAATATAATCGATTATTGCAATCTTATTGACCTAATACTATTTTTATTACCCTAATGTGATGTGAAATACTATGGAAACTTTGCATATTCAACGACCTCTATCTCTCCGTATCCCCGCGTATTTCAGGATTGTTGTCATACTATGAAATAAAGTACTAGTATTAAGCTTTAATTTAGTATACTTTTGTTTCTGTTGAATTAACGCCCAATATGCCCATCATCCTTTATTCTGCCAAATTTATTTTTAAGGAGGTCGAATACTTCCATACAAACTGTGAGGTTCCAAATTCAAATCACATTATCTATTTTCCTCCGGGGAACCTAATGAAACTACCTAGAACTAAATTGATTGGGTTTAGATTTAATATTATTAGTCAACCTGCAGTACATCACGGAATTTATTATCGAGCTGGTGCAGGTTGTGTACAGGTGGTGTGAAAATAAGATTAATTAGGTAAGTATACCTAAGTTGGATTTTATGTTATCCACCACGAGGAAGATCTTGGCCTGCTTTTCGGCGGACCGTAAAAGTTCCTTATAGTTCTACCATTACACTAGCTGTGCCCACGACTTCGTTCGCGTGAAAATAAATAGAATAATATTTCCCGTTTTTGCAACATTTTTCTCTACTGCTCCACCCCTATATTTGGCAGTAGGGTGATGTTATACACGGTGTTACTTTGAATTCTTGTCATAATATTTACAGTGGTAACTACAAGTATATTAGGTACAGTCGCGGAATGAAAAGGTTCGTCACCTTAGTATCGGTTTTCGCTTGCACTAGGTACTGTAAGAGTCAAACCTGCCAACATAACAGTGCAAGAAACAGTGCTGCTAACATTTAAATAAATATGACGTTTGCTAATGAATAAGGTTTTGCTTGTTTATTTTTCTATCCCATTCAGTGCAATGCAATGATGACATTGACCAACCAATTGACAATAGTTTTTTTTATTTAATAGAAATGATAATGGCAGGTTGAACCAACAAGAAGGTTTTAGTTTATAAATCTAATCTTCTTGACAAGATAAATCGTCAAACAACTCTGATCTGAATAATTTTGAACTTTACTGTCGAACAGTTAAAGATTACTTTCTCTTACTGTGCTCGCGATTCGTTGAAGGAATCAATTTGAAAACTGACGAACCTTTTCATTCCGTGACTGTACATATACTGAACACAAAGTAGTAAAAAAGAATGCTCTAAAATTTTATTATTTAATCTTGAGTATTTTATTTTATCGATAATATATTAAACACACTACTAATAACTCGTATCGTAACATGCACATCACTTGATG